AGTTCGTTACGTCGATGATACGTTTGTGATACTCAAACGTAGTCAAGTATCGGTGGCACAACAACTGCTTAACAACGCTATGGACGGCATACAGTTTACCATGGAATCAGAGAAGGAAAACAAACTTCCTTTCTTGGATGTGTTAGTAGCCAGAACAATGGACGGCAAATTGCAAACCTCAGTTTACAGAAAAAGCACGCACACCGATCAGATTTTGAATTGCAACAGCAACCACCCAAGATGTCACAAAATAAGCTGTGTGCAGACACTGTTCCATAGAATAGCAACTCACTGCAGTAGGACAGAAGCGAAAAGAGCAGAAGAAAAACACTTATTTAAGTCATTTGAACGCAATGGACACCCACGCAGTTTCCTCCGAAGATGCTTAAACCGCAAGCCCTCAAAAACCGAACCTACGTCAGCTATGACGAAACGTATAGTTCTGCCATACATAAAGAACGTGTCTGAAATGACTGCCAGATTGTTCAAACAACATCATATCATGGTAGCCCACAAGCCAACCGCCACCCTGAGGAAAACATTGTCAAAACCAAAAGGAAAGCGAGAGACACTAGAACGACGGAATGTCGTATATAGAATAAACTGCGCAAACTGTGAAAAGCACTATGTGGGACAAACAGGAAGAAAGCTGTGCACCAGGATACATGAACACCAAAGAGCATGCAAGAACCATTACGCAACCTCATTGGTTTCAGCACACGTGGATGAAGAGGGACACAGGTTCGACTGGAACAAGGTAGAGATCTTGACCGAAGGAGAAACACAAAAAGAGAGGGAGTTTCTCGAAGCCTGGTTCTCAACCACGAACTCAATCAACATGCATATCGACCTCGATCCAATATATCAATCGCTGAGACAGAGAGAGTTCAAGAGGATCAACAACCGTTGTCCGAAAGAACCTAATCCAACACACGGACAATGAACAGCATGGTCAATATGAGCCCAGACTACTCACCCACACCTCTTGCACCAATCCGAGTGCGATAATCCCAACCACGTCGCAACAACATTTCCGCAGCCAATGACAATGACTCGAGCACAACCGCCGAACACAAGGATTCACCAATGAGAACGAGGCAACATTAATAGCCCCGTATGCCTATATAAGGAACGGAGTGGTTGCTGGCAGTATCCATTATTGGGTTTGCTTTCTACCAGCTACTGCTACTTACCTGCTATCAATCCCGCACTGAAGATGCCACCTCAAATAGTGGCGAAACGTCTGCAACCAAGTTGCCCAGCTCGGAGAACTCCACAACAACTGAGCAAGCCTCCGGAGCTACCAATATTCCAAATCATTTTGAAAGGTGTGTCATGACATCCATCAATTCACTTGAGCTGATAGATAAGTCCTAACATGGTTTCCTTGACAAGCGTTTGTACACAGCCTGGTAGCTGCATTAGTTGAACTACGTACCAGACTCCACTGACTCAGAATATGCAATAATAATTCTATGCTTGGACATGCAGAAGACATTCGATAGGGTGTCTCACAAACGGGTACCGATTAAATAGCTTCGTTGAAATCCCGAACATACTACTAAGTTGGCTTTTATCATACATGTACGGTCTCGCTCTACTAGTCATCTTAGGCGACCATTGCCCTTCCCCGCGTCCAATTACCAGCGGGGTTAAACAAGGGTTTGCGCCCGGTACATTAATTTCCATTCTTTATATCAATGACATCAGTTTGGTTATCAAACATGCCGTGCCGTTTTTATTCAGCGATGATGTAAAAATTGGTTGCAAGTTTTGACGACTTGAGCTTCAAAATGTACTACTACTCATTCAAGAAGACAATCATTCGCTCGAGGCGTGGTGCGATAAGTGGATGATGGCATCCTGAGCACAAAAGCCACGTGTCGCGGTTGTTTGATGCTTGAAAGATCTGTCACACGTAAGAGCGAATGCATCTGTGTAGCACGGTTTACACCACCTCGGAATCCGATATTCTTGTATCCACAACTTTTCTGAACAGATTGAGTACCAGATAGCGCGAGCCAGGCAATCCGTGGCTAACATATCTTATGAGATGCATACTATCACAGCTACTGTTGAACTATTTAAAATCCTTACTCGTCCCATCCTGTTGCAGTATGAGAAAATCAGACACATCATTGACAGAAAGCCTTCAACGGCTATTTACTAAACACCTATTGGGAAACAATTCGATCATGAACTATCGGAAGCGATGCCAGCAGCTCCATCTCGATCCGCTTTGGCTGCGAAGATTAAAACATAACGAGACTGTTGTACAATCTGATTCATGGCAATGCCTATTGCAATCTATCCACCCGAGCATTTCAGCACAATTAAACTCGGGACCTAGGTAACAAAGACTTCACTCCGATTATACCACGATTCAGGACAAATTTGCAGTCTAACTTCTTTTTTATCACCAAATATACTTTCCCTTGAATCAGCTGTCAATCACAATTAAGTCGTGTGAGACTGTGCAACTATTTCGCAGTAGGTTAGGAAGCTACCTCGACCTGGACACCATTTTGTCCTTATTGTCGGAAAGATCATTTGACCATCCATTTATTGAAAGCTCAGATGATGTCTACTGGGTGTCATACCACCACTTTACGCAAGGTAATTAGCCCTCAGTTTCTACAACCTATTCAACCTGTAAAAGTGCCTCTTACCATCGCATAAGACATAAACATATGGGGCAAATATTTTGCCAGGAATAAAAACAAATATAAGAAGTTACCTTGATATTGCTCTGGCAAGAGCATGATATCACCTGTACATATATGAACTGTGCCAAGTATTGTCACAGATTCTCACTTGACTAGAAATATACCCGGTTGTACTATTATTATTGCTATTGTTATGCGGTATATTGTTTCAACCAAAGGCAATACGAACGTGGAGCCTAAATGTGCCACTGGTACGTGCCCTTTGAACCGACCACATATTGTGTTGTTGATAGTGTACGGTCTGCTCGGACAATTGCTGGAAATTTGGCACAGGAACACCGACTACCGGCATAGTTAGAATGCGAACCAATGGTAACCCTTTCGGCCTAAATGATCCGTTAAAGTGGTGCAGAGGATGAACCCTGAAACCCTTCATCCTAAGTTGATCAGCTTCAGTCTGGCGCGTCGCTGGTGACCCCTAGCACTCTCATCCTTGTCTGCCTTCCGTTAACACCAATGTGTCAACCTGCTGGGGAGCATGCCCGGAATGCAGTTCCTGATCCTATATACGCATACATGTTACGCTGTGCTTACACTCAGGGTATCCCATTGGCGAATGTCCTAGGACCAATGGGAGTGTCACTGATGATGCGTGCAAGTAGCCACGTAGGGAGAGAGGGGTTTGATACGCCTGCTAGGTTGAATGAACAACAAGCGATGTTGATATTTTAACATGCTCTTATTAGCACTATGCCCTAAGTTACCTGTGATATGTTATAGTGTTGTCCCATTATTTGGCATGTGGTTCGCAACTTCAGCTACAGTGTTACTACATGCCCACCAGCCAATTGTTCACCCTTGACGTTTGATGGCGAGGAGCTCTATCTAGTCGATCACTTTACCTGCCTTGTCAGCTGCATCGGTTAAGGTGGACGCATTACGTATTGCATCACGTTTTGCAAAAGCTAGCGCTATCCTTTTGAATCTGCGACATCATTGTCGACGGAGAGAAGTTTCTCTCTTCCTGTACGACCTTGTTTTTAAGGCCACAATGATGGCTGTCCTACTCTATGTTTGTTGACTTGATTCGTTCGATTTGAAGACCTGCGGCGCCTTCAATTCTTTGACTATTATCGTCTGTGAAGCATTGCTAGTGTCGACTGGAACCAGCCTGTCCGCAACGATGATTTGCATAGTCGAGTACTAGATAGTGTTAATTCTGTTAGTTCATTAGAGCAACAGAGCACTGAATAAGTTGCGTTGGCTTAGGTACGTGCTTCTTATGCCTGGTCACCGCTTACTAAATAGTACGTTGTTTTGTTTGCCTAATGTCGGGTGGTGCAAGACCCGAGGTGGACAAACATTAACTTGGCAGCGGAAAATAAAGTCACTGACGACCATCCTCGACGCCATCGGCCGGTGTTGCCTTCCATAGTGGTGAGTCGCCTTGTGCTTGGCTTGGGACGCTACAGGACATGGCTCGCAGTTGCTACCAGTCGCGTGCCCACGGTCGTCTCCTGGCAACACTACCTGTTTGAATTGTGTTTGCTGCTGTTGTCTACAGGGTAATGGCTCATTGTGACGCAGGTCAGTGAAAGTCGCAATGAAGCTTCCTCGCTGATGCCGCCTTATCTTTGCATAATAGCCAGCTTCTTTTAATAGTATGTTGTTTAGAAGTGTGGGCGTCTTGACTCTGAGTGTTTGTTTACGGCACTAACGGTTTACGCTAAGTCCCCTTCTATCCCTCTTATTGTTCTTTGTTTCGTAGGTCGTTATGGTTGTATGTCATCAAAGCGTCAGTTCAATTGGCTGATGTATTGCTGTTGCTGATACTGATGATGGTTGAAACTTGGCCGATTGATATAGGGCGAAGCAGCCACATCACTTGTGGTATATCCAGCCAAGTTAGGTCAGTTCAGTCCAGCGGAAGTGCAGAAGCACCAGCTGCCTCGACACCTGCTTCAGTTCTTCCCACATGCGTTCCCTCCCTACTATCTGTAACCTATAAATCTTTGTGTTCTCAGTTTGTTGCACAAGTCGGAATTGTCTTCTGAAGCGTTCACTGTACACTTTTATAGGCACTTGTTCATATCATTTACACGACAAGCTTCAGCACATTTTGAGTCCTGGTGCCGTGTAAAGTTCTCTTAACTAGTGCAACCCCAATCTGACACTTGAGATGCAAACACTTATCCAGTGCCGTTCAAACGAATGATGAAACTCTCTGTTTTACAATATCACTTCATTGGTTTTCCTGAATGCAGTTTTGGAAACATGCGTTTAGAAAGCTCATTTCCTAGTAGTTACAGATTAAATTTTTTTACTTTTTGATAGGAGCTGCAACGACATTTACCTTCTGTTGCCGAGGAAAACACACCTGAGGTGCGTTCTATTTGTCAAACTTTTAACCCATGTTCCCGTTCACCTCTTTTTACAATCTTATGTACGATCAGCTTCTATTGTTTACGAATTCTTCTTTAAACATGCCATTAAATCATTTTCGTCTGTTTAGTCACTCTGAATGTTGCTCAATGCATTAAGATTTTACGCTAGTATGCTTCTTCATCGCAGTTGGGCTAAACTAACTTACACTTAAACTAGGTCTTTTTAAGCTGGATAAATTTCATTCCACTTTATTTGGTTTGTTCTGCATATCTGAATAATCATCTATTAACTGGCAACATTGCTTAGGCTAATTGTGGTTATCTTCCTTATTGCGTTTGTAGCATCTTTGTGTAACTTCTGGACATTTCTTACTTATCGCGGATTCGTTGCTAACCAACTTACTTCAAATGCTAATTTAGGGTAGTGTTATGTCGGCATAACCGTATTCTTTAACAGACATATTTTATTTGATAATGTCATTTCAAGTGATTGGCTGTTGTTTGACATCCCCGTTGTGGCTGCGCTTGATGTGCATGTTGACAAGGTGCCTATCTGTCTTTTACCCACTACCTCGTCCATACTGGCTCCAGGAGACAGTTAATCTTTGCTGGAGGGGACGGGGTGCACGGTCCTTGTGGTCGTGCTAGGCTCGAAGAGTGGTTCCATGCAGTCAGTGTGGAGCGCATTACGGTCCAGCCACCGCCTTGTGTGCGCTTGATCCTCAACTACAGCATGCTTGCGTTTAACTGAATGAGTGTGGGCCGGCTCCGTTGATGAAACGTGGCTCCCATCCGCATGCTTCCCAGTCTGATTCCTTCAGGTTTGCACTGGACATGGGGTCTGTGGTTGGAACTGTGGGTGGTGCAGTGCAAGCCACCCATGGTCCCTCTGTAGGCGCAGACGTCCTGTGGCTGACCACAGTGACAGACGAATCCGAAACCGGATGCCGCCAACCATATATTGTGATCCAAACTTGTTTTAATTTCGGAATCATTTGCCTGCGCGTCATTCAACGTTCGACCAGTGAACGTTACAGCACTCAATTTGGGTAGTACTCATTCACTAATACAATTCCACGTTTCTGGATTTGTTAAACCCTTTGCAATGCCAATTACCCGAGCGATGAAGTCTGCGGACCGCGTGGTACAATCGAGGCAAGTTACTTTTGGTTCTCTTTCCCACTCTGGCTTTCATGCTATCACTAAGACCGCTAGTAGTAAGGCGCGGTCACAGATTCTCTTAGCGTAGTTGAAACAGAGACAGATGAAAGCGGAGTTAGAATTAGTAGTTAAACAGCTCTAGCTAAGGCAACGCCGCGATTTCCTCAAGGCTAGACAAACATTACGGATGGCCTGGCTTGAGGTCGCTTTAGTAGACGAGGCCGACGATAGTTTTTTGGTTCATGACCTATCGACTGAGAAATTGCCGCGGGTTGATACCTTAACGACTGGGTAACTGTTGCCATGACGAACCCATTGGAGCAGGCGGCTGTAGAGCCGGGTTACCAGGTAGCTGCCATGACTGCTGCAGTGACATCAGCCGTGAGACCACTCCTTATAGAAAGGGAACTCCCTGGTGTCGAGCTGACACCATTTGACGGCCGTACGGCAGCTTACGGGAAATTCGTGAAATAGTTTAACTTTTATGTCGAAAATAAAATTCGAGACCTAGGGCGACCTCTTCTATATCCCATACATTATTGCCGCGGACGCGCGAAACAGGCCATCAGTGAATGTGTAATGATACCCCCTGGAGAGGGTTACACAAGGGCCCGAAAGATTTTGGGCGATTTCTTTGGTCAGCTTCATTCTGTCGCGCACTCATCGCCAAAGTGCATACTGAATGGAGCGAAGACAATACCGAATAACGCAGAGGCGTTATCCGAATTAGCAATCAAAATGGAAAACTTACATCCTGTTGCGGGCCCGTCAAATATCCCCGCAAAAACGCGCCAGAAACTCCGGCATCGGGGCTGTGGAAAGTGGGGTCCAGTTCTTCCCCACAACGCAGCAGCGTTCAGCCACTCCGAGACGCGGCCCGACTGCGCACACGTTGCCAATCTTCTTTTGCAAACTACCACCCCCTCGTGGTAACTATTTTCCTTAACTTTATGACTCATAGCATTGGCTGTGATTTGCCCTTGGTTGGTCATAAAAGAGCCTTCAGAAGACCGCCTGTCTTGCTTCCTCTTCGCCTTAGTTGGGAGTCGGTCGGTCACGTGATTTTGTGTGCGTCGTTAGCCGGGCAGCGTTCGCGTCTAAGTCACTAGCGCGCGTCTACCGTAACCCCCTCTCGTGTGCGTCCGTTCCGAGGGCTCAGCGTCTACCCGAATACATGCGGCTAGGATCGTTCTCACGCTCGCTCAATTTCCGTCTCACCATTGCGTACCCCGGGCTAAGCTAATGCCACCGGGTCAGCGCAAATCCGTTCGATTGGCCAGCGTTCCAAGCCGTTACCGTAGGCGTGCTCCAACTGTGCTAGTGACAAACTTATCAGGCGTTACGCAATCGTAACAGAGGCGTCCCTCAATCTTAACGCATCCGCGTAACAAAAATGAAGTATGAAGCTGACATAAATTTCTTGATTACACTTAAGGAAATTGTGCGGGTATTGCTGAGATCCGTACAGGCTAAATGGGCAGAATTTGTCGATCGGCTGATGCTTGACGGGCAGGAGCCCAAATTCTCGGATCTAACTGAGTACGTAGCATCCCCTGCCCATATAGCTCACAGCCGTTTCGGACAGTTAGCAGATGGAGGAGAAAAGCAGTCTTATGCTCACGAACACCAGGCTTGTGCGAAAATCTCCACCTCGAAGGATTGCCCAAAGGGTGGCTCACTTTTTGTCGTGCAGGAGATTCGTAGCTCCACTCATACAACTAACGATTGTTGTATTTACAAGCAGAACCACAAAATAACGAATTACCCCGATTTCGCAGTCAGCACTGTGCCCCATAGGTTGGAGATGGTGAAAGCAGAGAGGCTGTGCCTTAAACCTCTCAAGCCTGGACATCGTGCAATTTCATGCCGCGTTCGTGAGAGGTTCTCTGTCGATCGTTGTAGGGCACACCATGACACGTTTCTTCATAGCTCTGGTGTTGTCTGCCTCCCCGAATAGCAATGAGAATGCTCGTTGTGGAGTCACTCACATCGCGCCTCTTGTCGCCCTAGGAGTAGTCCCAGTTAAACTAGTCGACCCTGCTGGCGTTATTAGTGTCAGCGCCCTTCTTGACAATGGGTCCGACACCACCCTAATTACTGGGGATTTGGTTGATCCCCTTGCCTTGTTGTCCAAACCGTCATCGCTGGCAATCAAGACAATTAACGGGGTAAAAAATATCACAGGGTCCATAGTTCGGTTCCAAGCGCTATCCATGGACGGATCGGAAAGGATCGATGTGGGCCGAGCTTTCTCTGTCTCTCGCTTGCCCATACGGTCGTCTGCGAAGACACTACGATAAGAAGCGAGTAAGTAGCCCCATCTAGCGACGTGCGTTTTGAGAACATCAAGGACCTAGATGTCGTTGCTTATCGGGAGTGAGGTACCCGAGACCCACTGGGTGTTGAAACAGAGGCTAGAATGTCAGAAACAACCCTACGCCTTTAAAACACTACTCGGTTGGGTTTTTATATGGTCACCTCGGACCACACAAGTGTGTGATAGCTACCGTCAATTGCATTGAGACAGGTGAGGCTGCCTTGTCCGACCAATTACAAATATGTACGTCGCAGAGTCCTATAAGCGGTCACCGTCCATAGAGGACGCCGTGGTTCTGGATATGGTTAAAAGAGCGACACGTTTGAACGACGGTCATTTCATCATCCCACTACCTTGGCGCAATGACGGCGCGTTTGTGCCCAACACTCGGTAACTTGTATCAAAATAACTCTTGCTTCTTAAGCGACGGTTTGCTCGCGATGAAGGCTTCTTTTCAAAATACGCTAAAGCCATGGAGACGATATTTTCCAAACGGTACGCTGTAAAGGTTCCTCCTGAACAGCAAGCAGCAACATTTTCACCTTGATGGTACCTACCCCACCATGCTGTAATCAATCTCAGAAAACCGGATAAGGTACGGGTTCCCCTGGATTGTGCAGCCAAATTCCAAGACGTATTGTTGAACGATCAGTTGTGTCAAGGACCCGACCTCACTGCCGAACTGTCCAGGGTCCTCCTACATTTTCGTAAATATCCGATAACCTTAGCAGCCGATGTAGAAGAAATGTTTATGCAAGTTTTCGTGCCAGAAAGAGACCGAGGTGCGTTGCGCTTCTTGTGGTGGCCCGACCACCATATGTCTAAAGAACCAGTTTATTACCAAATGATTGCCCACCCATTCGGAGCGACTTCGTCACCGTTTTGCTCCACTTACGCTATTCCTAAGACAGCGATGGATTTCGGTCATTTGTACGATAGTACAGTGACAGAAGCAGTCCTGAACAACTTATACGTGGATGACTGTCTGACATCAGTACGCAGCGTAGACGAGGCAAGGCAATTCGCAGAACAGACCCGCCACCTACTTACCAAGGGTGGTTTCAGGCTGCGAAAATGTGTGTCTAACAAATAATCTGAACTGGTATCGATTTCACCATCTAAAGTGTCCAGAACTTCCAAGGAGATTAACGACGGAGCGGTATTGAACGAGCGTATGCTTGGCATTGAATGGAATGCCGAATCTGACCATTTCTTCCACTTACCTTCCGAAGTGGACCACTAACTCGACGTGGCATTTTGTCTTCTGTATCCTCCTTGTTTGACCCACTTGAATTAGTGTCGCTTTTATTTCTATCGGCCAAAATGTTTTTGCAGCGATTGTGTTAAGCACAATTGGGCTAGAACGACCCTATAGGCACAGCAGAAGTAATAGTATGGCAACACTGGGTCGACGGCATGAGAGCTCTCGGTCAACTCTATTCCACGCTACATAACGAGAGGTCCCCATGATGATGTGAAGGACACCCAAGTGCATGTGTTTTGTGACGCTTCGGAAACTG